GACCGACTACTGCGAATGTTGCATAACTTCAGCAGCCGAACGCGCTTACCACCCTTAGATTAAAACAAAAAGGGTAGATACGGTACGCTCATACTTGCATCAAACAAAAACTGATCCCACGGCAGCGCGAACGGGACGGCGAGATCCGCGTCACTGCATTACCGACCCGAACGAAACAGCACGTTAAGTTTCAACGGCAGCGTGAACGAGACGGCGAGATCCGCGACACTGCACTTCCGACCAATCACGCGACCAGTACTCGACGTCACTACCGAATAAGATTCAAAACAAACAGCAACTTTTATGAAAATATATATTTTATAGTACTTATGATTTCTTTTACTTGATTGGACAATGATATATTACATGGTATTGCATATTACATGGCTAATGCAAAAATGTAGCAAAACATTTTTTTTTGTTTCTTAGGTTTTCACGCACATCACTCATTAAATAAAACTAGTTTTAACGGGTTAATGCACGAAACTTTATTTATTTTTTGAAGTTTCGCAGCCTTTTCAGGTCTGCATCGTCAGAATACTGATTTTTTATATAATTTTGTCGAGCTACCTTCGAAAGACTTTTATTGAGCGTTCGGTTATTTCATTGGAAGATTTTAATATTTTATTGTGTATATATGAATTTTTTAGTAAATTTAGTTAATAAAGTACTTTATTTAAAATTCTTATTTGTAATTTTGAGTTTATTTATTTGACCCTCACTACCGTAAACTACCACCGGTTCCAAAATTGGGAGACCTTTCTGAGAACAACCGGCGAAACAAACTCAGAGAGGCTTTCTATTAAAACAATTTTTGCTTTATCATCATCAGCCTATTAATGTCCCCAATGCTGGCCACAGGCCTTCCCTATGGATGGAATAGGGAGATTGGACCATGACCCACCACGCGGGCCCAGTGCGGATTGGTGGGTGCTAACGACTGCAGATGCAGCCGGGACCAACGGCTTAACGTGCCTTCCGAAGCACGGAGGAGCACGAGATAGTAATTTTTAGACACCCATCCAATGACCGACCACTGCGAAAGTTGCTTAAGTTCAACGATCGCAGCCGAACGCGCTTACCACTTGTGCCATCGAGCTCCTCTATTTGAAGCTCCTTATGCAATACTAGTATTCGTTAGTACACATATTATGTTATCTATACTTATAATAAATCTGTAGAGATGTCAATTCTGTACATGAAATATATTTTTAAAATAACTATCAGGGGCTGATTAGTGATCGATACTGATGCCAAAAATGCAATCAGTAAATTTTTTGTCTGTCTGTCTGTCTGTCTGTCTGTGTGTATGTTCCTTATAGAAACAAAAACTACTCGACGGATTTTAACGAAACTTGGTACAATTATTCTTCATACTCCTTGGCAGGTTATAGTATACTTTTCATCACGCTACAATCAATAGGAGCAGAGTAGTGAAGGGAAATGTTGGGAAAACGGGAGAAGTTACTCCATTTTTTAAGTTTCCGTCGCGTGTGCAGCCTTAATGATTAAAGTTACATAGAAATCATGTATGACGGAAATATTCTACATAAAATTGTCTAAAAAATATCCCGCAACAGCATATATCTATCTTTTATGGTTGACTCACAAGTAACACGTGTAACTCCCGATAGCTTAGCAGTTCGGACATTCTGATCATATTTGTTTACTCTTACGTTTATAATACTCTGACTCATCCCTAATTTAAAAAAGTTAACATTATTACCTATTCAATAAAAACAATACATAGAAATCGGTATAGAAACACCAAACTTATACATGAAATAAGCCATCGCGCCGTCGCACGTGAATACTGAATCATGCTATAAGGATTATTTTTGTGTAACGGTTGCCGCGCTCGACACGGGTCGCGGCGGCGGTAGGGTATCAAAAGGCGGGAGGTCCGAGAGCGAGCTGTCTAAATCTGTTTTCTGCGTCGCTCCCCCCCTGGGGGCGATCGCTTCCGATGAAGCCTTAGAGGCCTTCCCGGCCAGAGGCAGCCCCTACGGGTGTTTTTTAGTCAGTACGAGTCTGACATAACTTTGCAGCCGGCTGTAGGGTATCCATGAGGATTTCTCACCTGCTCCCCCGCCTGGGAGGAAACAAAAAAAAATAAAAAAAAGAGAGCGAGCGAGCTTCAATATTTGTTGATGCGTTCAGAGCGTTCGACCTTATTGACAGGCAATAATTGAGAAATATTGAGAAACCGTGCTTATCAGCGCTACTTTTAGTCTTTAAATAGTTTATTTGAATTTCTTTTGTTGTTATTTTGTAAAATAGGTATTAGTTGTTTTGGTAGTGTTTAAATATTCGTTCAAATTAAAAATTATTAAGCGTAGGTACTTTTATTAATTAAAGTAGTTATAAGTATTTATTTTTAAGTGAAGTAGGTATAGGTAGATAGTATTGCACATGCGTTTTAGCTTTATTTTCATTTCTTTTTTGTTGTGAGTTGTATATAATAATATTTCTGGTTATAATTCTATAAGAATATTTTAGTTTAAATAGTCATTTAGATTTTAAGTGTAAGGTAGCTAAAGTTAGGACCACGTATTAGTTGTTTTGGTAGTGTTTAAATATTCGTTCAAAGTGTAATTTAATCATATGGGATGAATGTACGATGGCCCAACGAAAAGGAGTAGAAGCGGTAGACAGAACTTTAAGGGATATAAGACAAAATGATCGACCAATGGGCGGTATCACAGTTTTATTTTGTGGTGATTTGCGACAAACCTTACCGGTAATACCACAGGGAACCCGAGCTGATGAGGTTAGAGCTTGCCTGAAAAGCTCTTATTTGTGGCGTGATATACAATCGGTGCATTTGACTATAAACATGCGAGTGAGAACTGTAGATAACCCGGATGATCGTGAATTTTCTGATATATTATTAAAGAAAATACCTTCACCAAAGATACCTATCCACTGCTACACCAAGGAAAACTTATTCTGACGCCTGAGATATGTTGTAAAGTGCAATCCCAACAACATCTTACATCGTCAGTTTACGGTGACGTAACAAATATATTAAATAAGGACAATTCTTGGCTATGCGAAAGGTCCATTTTAACTCCTCGCAATGACCAGGCATCTGAGATTAATAATATAATACTGTCGAATATCCAGGGGGAAAGCAAAGTTTATAGTTCAATAAATAGAATGGCCGATGAACAAGAAACCACTAATTACCCGATAGAATTTTTAAATTCTTTAAATATGCCCGGACTTCCTCCTAATGAAATTTGTTTAAAAATTGGCATTCCGATTATTCTGCTCCGAAATTTAAGACCACCACAAATTTGCAATGGAACTCGGCTTAAAGTAACCCAGTTGCAACAAAATGTAATCGAGGCTCAAATTTTAACAGGTTGCGGTGCAGGAGAAACCATCTTTATTCCCAGAATTCCCATAATACCAAATAATTTTCCATTCCAATTTAAAAGAACGCAATCAGTGTGTTATGCAATGACAATAAATAAGGCTCAAGGGCAGACTTTTCGTGTTGCTGGAGTAGATCTCGGTGTCAGTTGTTTTTCACATGGTCAGTTATGTCGCTCTTTCCCGGGTTAGCAGTCCTAGAAATTTTTATGTTCACGTGCCGGACGGGTCAACTTTCAACGTAGTTTACCCGGAAGCTTTGCGCTGAAGTATTTTCATTCTATATGTACTTAAGCCTCATGCGAAAGCGATCTAAACAATATTACCAATACATTAACGTAATAACATACAAGGAGTTACACGCTGATGGTCTCGGGGCATAGTGATAATAATAATATTCTGCGGTTCCTTATTGCGATAATTTTAACAGTATCGTGGATTGACATATTATATTTCCCTACTAAAATACGAAAGTTAATCTGTCTGTCACATCAAAACCACGGAACCCTGAGGAAGGACATATGCTACTTTTTTACGAAAATCGACGAAAACGCGGACGAAGTCGCGGGCAAAAGCTAGTTGTCAATAATTATGAAAGTTTATTTGCGAATTTAGTAGGCAGCCTTAATTGCAATTTAAAAAGCATTCTGGTATGAAGCTAAGCGAAATTTTCCCATTAATTTATAAAATTATCTTCAAATATTGTTCCATCTAACGAGGCGTGAGCAAACAACTTACGGGTTGACATATTAGGCTTATTAAGGGCATTCTGCGGGACCGCTAATGTTTTGCACAGATTGTCACAGGTCAAGTTAACTGCCTTTCCCCACTTCATTTCGAGCTTTGTTCATCTTGATATAAGAGTCAGAATCGACTGAGGAAATGTAAAATTTTGTGGTGTATTGTCCACTGTAAATATTTGTCAGCTTTTGTGTCTAGCCTGACCTATTCCACTATGACATACATATATAGACATATTGAGCCTAAACAATGAAGTATCCATTCTTATAATTCTAATATTATTATTATAAATCAAATAAAGCAATATTACATAAACTTAGTGGAAAGGTACTTTGTATCGATTCTAAGTCTTTGAGCACTTAAATTATAGATAAATAAGTATTTACGACGACCTCCGTGGCCGAGTGGTTTGTACACCGGGTTTCATGGTGTCGCCGACTCGAGAGGTCCCGGGTTCAAATCCCGGTGTGAGCAGATGTTTGTGTGATGAATACCAGCATTTGTACTCCAGTCATGGATGTTTAATATGTATTTCTATAAAAATATACTTATATATGTAATATATGTATTCTATCCGTTGCCCTAGTATCCCATAACACAAGCCTTATAGTGCTTACTTTGGGGCTAGGCTAATCGGTATGACCGTTGGAAATATTTATTTATTTAATATTTATGATTTTTCTCGTCTTCTGTTCTCTGGCGGAAATCTCCTACACGAAATTAACGAGCTTTCAATGACATGGATATTGAATTTGAAAACTTGTCAAGCAATCTGTTTCAACACATTCTTCATAAAAACATTGTCAGTTTCTAAAGGCAATATTTTCTCATTGTTACAGAAAACCAACTAAAATGACCCAGTAACAAGAACGGATATCACCATGGATCCAACAGAAGACGAATTCTATAGCATGTGCTTAAACCTGACCAACGAAGAAGCGAGCCTGGGCAGCTGCAACTTCAGCAGCGAATATGAAAACGGAGAATTGTTGGAGAAGGTCGTGTCCAGGGTAGTGCCAATCTTCTTCGGCTTCATTGGCATAGTTGGCTTAGTCGGCAATGCGTTAGTTGTCCTAGTGGTAGCTGCTAATCCTGGCATGAGATCGACCACCAACCTTCTTATAATCAACCTAGCCGTTGCCGATTTACTGTTCGTCATCTTCTGCGTACCATTCACAGCCACAGACTACGTTATGCCAAGATGGCCCTTCGGAGATTGGTGGTGCAAAGTCGTTCAATACTTCATCGTGGTAACAGCCCATGCGTCAGTTTACACCCTGGTTCTTATGTCTCTGGACAGATTCATGGCAGTAGTTCATCCTATAGCTTCAATGTCCATCAGAACGGAAAAGAATGCATTGCTAGCCATAGCCTGCATCTGGGTGGTGATTCTGACCACAGCGATACCAGTAGGTATTTGTCATGGAGAGAGAGAGTATGCTTATTATCACAGGAATCATTCCTCTTGTGTGTTCTTGGAAGAGCAGGGATATAGCAAGCTGGGCTTCCAGATGTCCTTCTTTTTATCTTCTTATGTCATTCCTTTGGCGCTGATCAGCGTTTTGTATATGTGTATGCTGACCAGGTTGTGGAAGAGCGCTCCTGGTGGGAGAGTATCAGCGGAAAGCAGGAGAGGGAGGAAGAAGGTCACCAGAATGGTGGTTGTAGTCGTCGTAGTGTTTGCTGTATGCTGGTGTCCAATACAGGTAAATACATTAACATTAATTTCAATGTACGATACACACATTCACTACTGAACTCCACAATCATTTGATATCTAAGGTGGTGGACTAATATGCTTAGAGCAAGTAACCATGTCAAACAATTATCTTCGTAAGTAAAATATCTAAAGAAAAGTTTACTAGAAAAAAAAATTTTCGACGCGGCTAATAGGGCCGTGGTAGCATAATGGTCAGTGCATTCGCCCGGATAGCGAAGGATGCGGGTTCGAGTCCCGTCCGCTGCCTGGTCCGCGTGGATTTTTTTCTAGTAAACTTTTCTTTAGATTTAAACATCTAGCAGTTAAATGCTTAAAAAATAAATAAAATCATAACTAAAATATCTACATTTTATAATGAATAACACATTGCTATAGGTCATCATTATCAGCCTATTAATGTCCCCACTGTTTGGGCACAGGCCTTTCCTATGGATGGGATAGGCAATTTTGGGCCATGACCCAGCACGCGGACCTAGTGCGAATTGGTGGGTGCTGTCGACTGCAGATGCACGGAGGAGCTCGAGATAGTAAATTTTTGGTCGCACACCCAATGACCGACCACTGCGAAATTTACTTAACTGCAACGATCGCAGCCAAACGCGCTAACCATTTGCGCCAACGAACTGCTCATTGCTGTAGGTACTTAGCCAATATAAAATAATAATCTGTTGTGCCATAAATGCAAATTTACAAACCAAAACATATTATTTTCAATAGGGAAGCATTGTATATCACAATCAGGGTGGAACCAGCCTCTGAAAATTTGGCAAAAAAATAGTACATTCATGGCCCAAGAATACACGCGTGACAGCAACCTATGAAAATGAAAATGAAAAAAATCTTTAATGCTTAGAAGTTCCATATAAACGTGTTGTTGAGTATCCCCTTTTAAGTATTATACTTGTATTAGGGGATACTCGCTCTTTCGTCAATTTTTACATTGAACTTTAACTATAACAATTACTGACATTAAAATTATTTCCGAAAGAAAATTAGACAAGTTCAAATTGATCCCGCCCCCGTAGCATGAGCACCACAATTCACACTGTATCACGTGTCATATCGCGTCCAGCTGTCAAACTCCAAAGAATTTGGCACCTGAGCGCAACAAAACAACAAAACACATATTATATCGCGGTCCTCATGCCAGGGGGGAAGGCATCACACATTAACTATTTAAAGTATTAAACCATAAACTGTTTAAAGACTACCTATTGTCAGTTGCATGTTGATAATAAGATGGAAGGTATGGCACTCCCATCCCAGTAACTACAGGTTACGTGGGTGACTCAAGCTTACGCCATAGCCAATCGCAATAGATTCAGTCCAGTAGCGGTTGCAACTCGACAGATTAAAGGGCATGATTAAATTATTTTATTTTATAAACGACATCAACCGGTACCTTGGCAACCGGGTTCGCGAATGTGTGAGAGACTACGTGAACTTTGATGTGCATCAAAATACTGACACCGCTTGGAAAATTAAGAACGTAGCTCAAATTTCGCGAATTCATTCGCGAATGCCGTCCCACATATGCGAGTTCGCGCATTCGTGCGAATGTGAGTCACAGGAGTAAGGTAATAAACAGAGGTACAGGGTACAAACTATCATTTAGGTACAGGTATACCAAATACAAATTATAGTTTTCTTGCATCCAATCTTGCCTTTGCGAAAATATAGTACAAGTCATCAAATTTTAATACAAATACTACAATTATAGTACAAAATCCAACCACAACCATTTCCTAATAAAACGTCGCATCACTCAGAATACATCTAGAGTACAGGTTACTTATCAACCCACCTATCTATGTTTATTACTCATTCAAACCTAAATTGACGGTACACAAAGAGACATTCGAACCTAAACTAACTCATAGAATAGGTCGTATTCATTCCAGTAAAAGGTTCCCTAATCAATTCAACCCAAGCATTACCATTATTCAGCTTATCTGTTAATAACACTTTCAATTCAAATGAAAGATTACCTTGGAATTAGAATACGAACACGAGGGCAAGCTAATATTATAAAACTTTAATCTAGGTAGGCTTTCACAGCACTTTAAAGTATTAGGAACAAATCCTAGCACTTTAATTGTGCTATAAGCCTATTGAAATAAAGGTAAATGGAACTAATCGATCGCTGTTCGACTCAATTTAAATAAAACAAGTAGATCTTTGAATAAGTAGTAGTTCTGTTTAAATAATAAATAAATATTTCCAACACTCACACCAATTAGCTTAGCCCCAAAGTAAGCATTATAAAGCTTGTGTTATGGGATACTAGGGTAACAATGAGAAAATATTGCCTTTAGAAACTGACAACGTTTTTATGAAGAATGTGTTGAAACAGATTGCCTGACAAGTTTTCAACTTCAATATCATGTCATTGAAAGCTCGTTAATTTCGTATAGGAGATTTCCGCCAGAGAACAGAAGATGAGAAAAATCATAAATAAATAAATATTTCCAACAGTCACACCAATTAGTAGTAATTAGCCCCAAAGTAAGCACTATAAGGCTTGTGTTATGGCATACTAGGGTAACGGATAGAATACATATATTGTACATATATAAGTATATTTATATTATAGAAATACATATTAAACATCCATGACTGGAGTACAAATGCTCGTGTTCACCATACAAACATCTGCTCCCACCGGGATTCGAACCCGGGACCTCTCGAGTCGGTGACGCCATGAAACTCGGCGTACAAACCACTCGACCACGGAGGTCGTCAGGGAAAGCAGTAGTATAATAATAATAATAATCATCATCATCAACCCATGTTCGTCCACTGCTGGACATAGGTCTCCCCTAATGCACGTAAACGAAGTATAGGACGCCCAAAGTCAAGATGGGATGATGATATTCGTAGGCTGGCTGGAGTGGGCTGGATGAGAGTAGCACAAAATCGGGAGCAGTGGCGTGCATTAGTGGAGATCTATGTCCAGTAGCCAGATTGGCAAATGACTTTACCCTACCTGATGTTAAGTGGTGATAAAGTCCAAACGCGAAGATAGCTGGTTCAGCAGTTATAAACTCTTAAAGGACTCCAGATTGAAGGAAGGAGGGAACACGTGCGTGGGCAAAGAATTCCACTTACAAGTAGTACGACAAAGAAATGAGTCACCAAATTTCTTCGTTCGTGTAGGAATAGTGGCCACAGTAAGTCGGTGGCAACGTAGGCCAGCGCGCGTGGTCCTCTGAAGAAATGATGATGGAGGGATAATTTATATTTTCAAATTTTCCGTAACTGAAATTATAGAAGAAGTGAATGTTACGTCCCCAAATAATTTAAGCAAAAAAATCCGTTGTGCCCTACTTCCTGTAACCCCGAAGAGCATGCAGATACATTCACGGGTGATATAAGATAAAAAATACCAATCGCCTCTCAAAGTAAATATTCCATAAAAGCTTTTGGTTGCGCACACTCTATTCGTCAAACAGTGGAAATTTCTCAACGAGATTATGTAACTAATATATACTGCCGCTCTCGGAAATATTTCTCTTAATACGAGTAGATGGATGTTTCATAAGATCTTTTTAACTTTCACTATTAATATACTATCTTTATGGTAGTCTTATAGCTATTAACGGGATTGTTACCATTTACCTTGTTTTTTATGAGTCTCCTATATTTCGGACCTGTTGCAAGCGCCATGATCACGGAGTAACTGAAGTAATTGCGGGTAGATGTTATTGGCAGACATATCGGTCTACCCTCTGACGTCGTCTTTTACTACGCTCGATACCCTACCATTGATCACATTCTTTTTTTTAGGTCCGTGTTCTCACTATTCAACATAATTCATAACAAGGTACATGGTAACAATCCCGTTAATAGCTATAATGTTAGTGACCATGAAAGTTTAAAACAATTTATGGTAGTCGGTAATATACAGAAGCAAAATAATTCATTATACATATTTTCCGATAGTGGTATTAATTTAATTATATTTACATAGAAATATTAAAAATTACTAAAGCTTAAAACTACTTAATGTCTAAAAACAATAGGCTGGCAGCTTTTCCACGTTGGATAGTAAGGCTAATCGGTTTACCAAGGTAACTGCAAGCCTTTTGATCACCGCTCACCTCGGTGAGCTTCTTACGCAATTCCATAAAGAATGAACGAACGCTTGGACCCCATGGTCCCATAGTCTCAACACCAAACAGAACAAATATGTAGTTCTCGTGGTGATCACCGAGCTATTTAATGATCCACTACTGTTTTATAATAACGCCCCTAAGATACTTGTTCTGAAAAACATCGATGGATATGCAATTTTCTATTTAGTTTTATACACTGGGGAGCTCGATGGCGTGGGTAGCTAGCGCGTTTGGCTGCGATCGTTGAAGTTAAGTAACTTTCGCAGTGGTCGGTCATCAGTTGGGTGACCAAAAATCTTCTATCTCAAGTTCTTCCGTGCTTCGGACGGCACGTTAAGCCGATGGTCCCGGCTGCATCTGCAATCGTTAGCACCCGCCAATCCGCACTGGGCCCGCGTAGTGGGTCATGGCCCAATTTCCCTTATCCATCCATAGCCCCAGCAGTGGGAACATGAATAGGCTAATGATGATGATATATTTTTTATTTAGTAGTAAAGATTCCCATAATTCGTGTTTTGGGTGGCGGTTGCGGTTTCGTTATCAATCATGGATATTTTGAATTTAAATGATTTTTAGGCTGAAATAAATTGCTTCGCTTTGTTTTGCATTGCTTTGCTTGCTGTTATTTATACTGTTGTGGTTTTTGCTGTTTTTGATTGACTTTTATTTATCTTAATTTTTTGTTACTTAAAAGCAAAGGATGTTAAGCCCATACATCCTTTGAAGTAATAAAAAAAAATTACATGATTTTTTTTGGTCACCAAACAAGCCCTGGGTCCTTACGGGACCTATTCAACGATATCCTACACGGTGGGGTGGATGATGAAAAAAACATCTTTCCCATGTTTCATGCAGGACAGCTACACTATTTTTTTTTTCTTTCATTCCAATTTTAATTTCTAAAATTCAAATTCTAAAATTTTATTCCACCATTTTGTCGACGTGATCGATATACATATCTCCACAAAGTTAAATCTCTCTAGTGCCATTAGTCTCGAAGCAAAATCGGGGATGGACATGACGTAAATCCTTACTAATATTATAAAGGCGAAAGTTTGTTTGGATGGATGTATGGATGGATGTTTGTTCCTCTTTCACACAAAAACTACTAAACGGATTTTAATGAAACTTTACAGTAATGTAGCTTATAGATCAGATTAACACATAAGCTATAATTTATAAAGATATTGTGTGAATTGTCCAAAATATAACGATAAATGTCATTTAAGTCTGAAAAAATTCTGCAATCTGCGAGCTATTCAGGCGTGTAAGGATAAAATTGTCTAAAAAATATCCCGCAACAGCATATGTCTATCTTTTATGGTTGACTCACAATAACACGTGTAATTATATAAATAAAGTCATTGTTTATAGCACAAGCCTGAGAACAAAAAGTATAGTTTACACTACAGCTCTACACCGAAGCGAAGCGAGGGCGGGCCACTAGTAATACATAATTCGGGGCAGCCTCGACAATCACGGCCTATGCGACTTAAATCGCTTTTTATCTACTAGTAAAACAAAAGAACTAATTTACTTGGCCGTACTTAGTGACTTTCATAAAAGACTTTTTAGACTTTATACTTAATATCTTCTGAGAATAAAATAAAATTAAACACTATGACAAGTTTAAAATTGAATTGAGACTAGCGGCTATGACCATAAAAAGAATCCACATAAATGGAATTTGTGACTTTATTGCTGTTTAAAGATTTCTCTCAAGTTGATTCTTGGAAAATGATTACCAATAAGAAACAATTTAACGCAGATATGAAAATATTGTATAACACTACACGATATTATCTTTAATCATTGGAAAAATTAGAGAGCTTTTAATAATCTCCTTCCAATTATCCTAATTGTTGTCGAGTCGTTCGTTTCTATGAAAAAAAGACATCTGTTTTTTGTGGTATAGTGTAGTAATGTCAGCCTTGGGTTAGAATAATGAAAAAGCCTTACTGCAATGTTATTCTGTAAGTACAAATTCAATTTTCACCGTGGAATCCGCGTTGTTATTTGAAATATGAATTCTCATTTCAAATCACACTGGCGAATATTGCGGTGAAAAGTAAGGAAAAGAATTTGGACGATTCAAAAGAACTGCATGATATCCTAGAAGCATATTTAAAAAAATATTTTTTAACGTTGACTCTGACAAACGCCCTACATCTGCTTCCAGATCATTCTCCTAGTGAAGGCGTTGGACGCCTACAACATCACTTACTTCACGGTGACGGCGCAGATCGTGTCCCACGTACTGGCGTACATGAACAGCTGCGTGAACCCGGTGCTCTACGCTTTCCTGTCGGAGAACTTCAGGGTCGCTTTCAGAAAGGTCAGTCATATTTGGACCGTAAGCCGTGTGATTAAAACTCATTCTTGCTGATTGACTAATGGTATGGTGTTTTGGCTAGCATGGTCACTGCGATACGTCCCCCGAACAACCAAAGACACTGAGAGACCGGTTGAAACTAAAGTACGCGAGAGTCTCCTTAAATAAGTAGAACTCATGTGAGAAGGCCATAGAGCAACACGGTCGACGCAAGGTGAAGCGACGTACACAGATTAAAGAGATGGTCCTAGACTTCTCTTTAAAAACGACTTCTTTTTTTCCTAAACTTCATGTTAATTACAACATGAAGTTTAGGAAAAAGTTTACAACGTGATCTGTGAATATTTACTTCCATAGCATGCGCTTTTCTAAATCTTCGAGGGACAAATATTCGCACAACGTGTGCTTTGGGTCCGTGTCAAGTCGCGGACACTTTCTTCGCGATTCAGGGAGTTTTATTCTCCACGGACAAGAGTACCTCGTTGGTGCAAGTCATAAGGAAAAGCCGAGCACACCCTGTTGGAGTGCTCAGCCTGGCGGCAGCAGCATCGCGATCTGCTCGCGGTGCTGGGAGGCGGAACCCTCTCGCTGCGGAGCATGGTCGATCCGTAGTAAGACGGCATGAGCGGCGACTGCCTCCTTCTGTGAGAACGTTATCTCGGCGCGCATTGTGCCGTAACGGCCACCGAGGGATTCCGTGACGACAGCCCCCCTCTTGTAGTTCTGTACTGCAAAGAGGGGGCGGCGGAGGGAGCTACACGGGCACGCCCAAGTGGCCCTCCGCAGCGGACGGGGGGCGGTACGGTGGGCACTAGGCCACGAACTTAGCCCCCACGCGCGGGTAATAGTGACGGACACACATCAAAAAAAGTTCGAGATCACTTGCAAAAGCTGATATATTTTAAAAATTTAACTTAAGAGAAAATGTTTACGTTACATCTTTTTTATTAAAAAATACACCTTCTGAAATTAAAAGATAAAACTAATTTTATTTTTGAGTATAAAAAAATTAGTAATTCAATCCTAACTTTGATAGAAATAAAAAGATAGCTTAACCAAACTTAAAAACCTTTTATTAATAAATTGTTGTTTATCTAATACAAAATAACTCCTCCTCTGGCTCGAACATACACAAAGATTCTCCTGGGCATGCTGAGGATCAAGTTCTCCAGCATTTCTTGTGGTAACCTGTCCCATTCATGAATAGCAGCTACCCTGAGCTGCGGCACTGTCTGTGGTGGTGGCTGCCGGTTCCAAACAGCTCGCTTAAGAGCATCCCACGCGTGCTCCATTGGGTTTAAGCCAGGAGAGCCGGCCCCAATCATAATACAACCCCAAAAGGTCAGTGATTTCCCGCCTTACTGAACCTTTCCAGTGGCCGTTCTTTGTCTTTCAAGGTCTCCAGGTCTTCTCCAAACACGGACACGTCGGTTATCTGGATGAGTACTGATTCGCGATTCGTCAACGAAGAGGGAGTTTTGCTAAATGTTTTCCTCTTCGTCTTCTTCGTTTTGCCGGAGCCTAGCCCACTGTAATCTCCGTCGCTAACGGTCCCGTGAATTCAAAGGTGCTCGCCGAGACCTCCGTGCTCGAAATCTAGCCTTGTGTAAGCAATTCCGAATGGTCTGAGTGCTAACTTCAAGTCCGGAGGCGGCCAGTATTTCTGCTTTTAATTTAGTGGCGTTTATTGTTAGGTCGCGGGCTACCAGCAACCTGATGTAGCACTTCTGAGCAGCTGTCAAAACAGTCGGGCGACCGCTGCGGGGTCGATCAGCTAAATTACCCATGCCGTAGTACCTCTGCAACGTGGTTACTACACAGGTTTGGGATAATAATATGGCAACTCTGCGTGCTATATCTTTCGTAGAATAGCCTTCTTGCCTCAAAGTTACATTCTGGCTCGTAAAACATCGGATAATCCTCGTGTATTTTTAAATTACAACTTTCCGTGAAAGAATATTTTAAATTCGATAATATTGATTAAGTGAGATTTCTGAATGAGTGTCAGCTTGGATCCCATATCTTTTTATATGGTAAACCAATAGAATTAATGTTTTACGTTCTAATTCTAATTTTAAAATTAAGAATCTTATCAGAAAAAGAAATTACAAAAAAGTCTTCTGTAACACAAAAACCATCTATTTTTCAAAGTGATCGTAAACTTTTTTTGATGTGTGTAGGTAGGTACCTATCTTCCTGATTGTTTTCATCTGACTAAGTGTAAACTCCGTATCGAGACCATCAGATCTCATCAATTATGCACCCCAAAACTGAGTTCGAAGCGAATTATATCTGTCCCAGCCGAAGTGGCTTTAAATAAGCAATGCTGTTCTGTTCAACACGTTTCTACAATATCGGAAACAACGTTTCTGTTTTAACCAATCTGCTAGGTTTGTAGGCACTTATTACTTAGTCTTGTAGAGGCTCTGTTAAGTGCGAACAAACAAACCGAGAGGTAGCGATAACTAACTTTGATGTCTCTGAAAGGTTTTGAAATCCAGTAAATTTAGATTGAAATGCGCTGGTTTTGAGTTGTTCAATCGGGACTTTTCTCTGTAACTTTAGTGAACAGTTATTTATACTGATAATAGTTTCGGGCATAATGGGCACAAAGATATTTCGAGATAAAAGCGATCGATTCGTTAATATCATTCAGGCTTTTGTGTCTGGCTACAACTATTTTCTTTTTGGTTCCTTATGTGCTCCCTGATTCGAAAACGAAACAAAAAAAGGCACTTTCCTTGATGGTCATTAATATTTACATTTTGATCGGACAGTGCATCCTGTCATCATGTATATTAAGAAAAAGGTAGGTTTTTGCAAATTTCGATTGATTGCATTGTCTACGTTACACTATTTGTTTGGTTATGAGTCAGTGCAAGTTGTGGCTTCATTTCAGTGGTCAAAAATAAACGCGTATCCTTCAAAAAAGTAAAAAATTATCCACATCACGATTTCTGTATGTTCTAAACTAAAGTTAGGATTGTGCAGAATATATTTGTGTCATTATAATGCGTCAATTATTATGTAAGAAAACTTAAATAAGCAGCGTTTTTAAAGCGTTACACTGGGAAAATATACGGTATGAATTATACTAAATATGAGTTTTGTATTTAAGTAAAAGCAACGTTGACAACTTATGAAATAGTCGAAATGGTCAATGATTTGAACTTGAGCGATAAAATGTTAAGCTTAGATATACTTGTTATATATTGAATACCACGACGATGGGTTAATTTCAGATTTAGATTCTGGCATTGAGATAAGTGTAAGATTTGAGAAGTTATCAGTAAGATCAGAACTTCTGGGACCTGGCCAGCTGGTTCACGGTGTTAATAATGATGACAGTGAGTTTGAAGAAGATGATGATTTTCCGCTTTCAATGTACCTACCTACCAAACTAGACGAGACCGAACATCAAACCGAAAATTCCCTAATTGAGTCAACCATGATGGCCGTAAAAGCGTAAGTGGGAAAAACTAGAGTTAGCTATAATGGATTATGAGTGGACCACCTCCAAGAACAGTAGTGACTGCATCAGACGCTTCTGACCCAATCATTTTTTTCTATTTTGTAAACAATGCAATACTCACTAAAAGTTCGCAAGGATGTTGACACGTTAGAATTTTAACGTAGTATTGTCCTAACTTTACTTCAAAAGGGGTTTTTTAAACTATTTCTTTCTTTAATCCGAAATCAAAATTACTGAGCATTATATATGATCGTTAGATACCAAGCCGACTCTGTTGTGTTGCTTGTGCGTCAAAACTTGACGGTCACTTCGTCTCAAAAGTGTAAAGTCCATGTACACTGCAATCTTTCTATTGCATTAAATTCTTGATTTTAAGTAATTCAATTAACATTATTTTTAAAATAATTTCTCATTATAATAAATAGAAAGAACAAATGCCGTTGTTTATTTACTGACAGTAAATATAGGGGAAGTGCCTGATGTTTCGTTTTCGAAAAATTAAGAAAAGGTATTTATCTAATAATGACCTTAATCAAAGTAGTTAATATGTCAGTAAAGACATATTGGAAGTCCAAAATAGTTCTGAGCATAAAGGAGTACTGTTAATTTCCGAATCAAGGGGCATATATTGGTTAATGTCATGTAATTTGATTGAAGCTTTAGCTATAACTCGAATAATTGTTTCAATTTATTTACAATTCGTGTTATCTACAGAGCCAAGTATAAAGTGTTTTAATCTTGTTCAGCTATTTGTATTGTTGATGAGTTAAGATATTGATTGGAATGAGTTATGACTATGGCCTAAATCTATACATTCATAGTTTTTATAAGGTTCAATATTCCCTTCAAGTCATTCGAGGCACCATTAACACCGTTTCCGTCACATTAACTAAGATTTTGTTTAAGTACCATTAATTTATCAATCAGAAGTGGTAATAATTTTTAATTCCTTTTCGTCCGTTTTCATACTGACGAAAGGGAATTAAAAATTTTTTTTGAACCCCATTATTCGTTTCCATTTCAGGATGCGTCGTCAAGAATTTCATCGATAAACGTGGAGTTCTGTAAAAAAATATTTAAAAAGCGGCCAAGTGCGGTGGAAAATAGATTGCCCAAATTGGCTCAAATGTATAAAAAATATTGACATATACGGAAATTCTTGGCGTAATTTATATTTTATTTTACAGTCATTACATTTTAACGGACACCTTGGTTTCGAAAACATACGCATCATAGTTATATTTTTTATTATTTTAAAGCATGTAACTGCTTGATGTTTAAATCTAAAGATAATATAACTAGAAAAAATTCCACGTGGTCCAGACAGCAGACGGGACTCGAACCCGTACCCTTCGCAATCCGGGCGAATGCAGTGACCAATTATGCTACCGCGGCCCTCACGGACCGTGTCGAAATTCTTCTAGCCTTACTATACTTGTAAAAGTATTCATTTGATATTGTGGGTTACCTATAATGCGAAGAGATGGCGCTGCCTTGCAGCTTAAGAATGGCTAGAATTTCGACGCGGTCCGTGAGGGCCGCGGTAGCATAATTGGTCAGTGCATTCGCCCGGATTGCGAAGGGTGCGGGTTCGAGTCCCGTCTGCTGCCTGGTCCGCGTGGAATTTTTTCGTACGCATCATTTTTATTGGCTAAGGGTGAAGCCAAACAAGCGTAATTTTGTGAGACGCTTATTTTCGGTCACTTATTTTACGTTCAACTGAATTTCTGTTGAGCTGCCATACGAACGTAATTTATTCAGTTACTATTGAGCGTTAGTACGGGGTGTTCGTGTCGTCGAGTGCAATGGATCCATTAAAAATATTGTGTATTTACGAAGCATATTCAGAAGATGAGGCCAGAAAAAGAAACTGGGTAAACCCACTGAATAGTCAGAGGCTGATATGTGGACAGTTCCATACTTTATATGAACGTTTATGTGTAAATCCAGATATGTTTGAAAAGTACTATCATATGCCATTACGTGTTTTTCAAGAATTATTACACCACGCAACTTGTAACAAACTGTTGCTTCCCCACTCCCCTTCCTTGCCCTACCCTCACCCCGACCGAAATTCGGACGAGCTTATGCGCATTGAGTCGGCAGACAACTCATTTTGCGTTGTCATGTGGCACCAACTGCCTTTTCGTATGAAACCGAATGCAGCAGAATTTCTGCGACCGAAATTCTGCGACTCACCACTCACAAAATTACGCTCGTTTGGCCTCATCCTATGTGTCCAGTAACATTCAGCCAAAGACTCTATGTGTCCAGTAAGATTCTCTACCCTACATTTAACACATTCATCGTGGTTACGAACATCCCAAATTAATTTGTTCCACTCCTATTCGGATTTGTTAGTTTGTTTACTTGTTCATCATCATCATCATCATCATCATCGACCCATGCTCGTCTACTGCTGGACATAGGTCTCCCCTTATGCTCCCGATTTTCTGCCACTCTCATCCAGCCCACTCCAGCCAGCCTACGAATGTCATCATCCCATCTTGTCTCAGGGCGTCCCACACTACGTTTACCGAGTCGCGGTCTCCACTCAAGAACTTTCCGGCTCCATCAGCCGTCAGTTCTGCGGCTAATGTGACCAGCCCACTGCCACTTCAGTTTGCTAATTCATTATCATCATCATATCAGCCGTAAGACGCCAACTGCTGGACATAGGCCTCCCCCAAGGATCTCCACAACGATCCGTCCTGCGCTGCCCGCATCCAGCGTTTTCCCGCGACCTTCACCAGATCGTCGGTCCACCTTGTAGCGGGTCTTCCCACTGAGCGTCGTCCGGCACGCGGTCGCCATTCGAGAACCTTTCCGCCCCAACGGCCATCGGTTCTCCTCGCTATGTGTCCCGCCCACTGCCACTTCATTATAATAATTTAGTTTGCTAATTAGTGATTATAAATTATCAATTTCTGTTCCCAGGTGATGTATTGCCCACCGCCTTACAACGACGGGATTGGTCGACCCCAGCCAACGAAGACAACACGAACTGGCAACGGTAACTCGTGTCACGACATAGTTTGAGAATCATTGCGCAGTCGCACGCGCCTGCCTTCCGCTGACCAAGGGACTATTGTATAAAAAGCCAAAACAAACATTCACGAACCGAACAATATTCGCGAACACGCGTGTGCACTGTAAAACGAACCCTCTGTGATGTAAATAAAGTGTAAACTTATTTTAAAAAAACGGAAATTTTCGAAAAATGTGATGCTTTCATAATTTTGTTGTGTAAATAAATATGTACCTAGTTTGTTTACATAGTGTCTACTGAAAATAGAAAATTCCTTGCGCGCTGCTGTATTTCGAGCCCGAATATCGTAGTGAATGACGAATTTTCTTTATGTAATGAAAACAAAATAATATTAAGTGTAAATTAATGTTAATTGTAACAATGCTAAATGCTTCAAAAAGTAGACACATCGAAAATAGATTAGTTTGATAATTGAGATTAAGTAGACGGAATTCTTATTTAAATAGGTAGTTTCAAGTTTGTATCAAAGACACAAGCTTATTTGTAACTTTAAACTTAGCTAGTAAATAAAATGTAAGTTATAAACTTGCACAGAATGTACGTTAAGTAAATGTATTTTTATTGAGATAATATTTGTAAAATAATTTAATTGTAATGTATAAGCATTAAAATTATATTGTCTGTTTACAAACTGTACGTCATCCTGATGTGATTTATGTAAATTGCTTTAAAGATAATATTATTATAGTGAATGTTTTGATACAATTTGGTTTTATTTTTAAAATGATAATTAGTTAACTAATTTCGTCATTGCTTAGATTCCCCGTACTATAAATAAATAATGAAATAAAATTATTTCATTATTCATTATTGATTGATGATAAATAAATAAAGGATAAAACTCAAATGATTCAAAATGAGCATGAGGAGCTCGATGGCGCAAGTGGTTAGCGCGTTCGGCTGCGATCGTTGAAGTTAAGCAACTTTCGCAGTGGTCGGTCATTGGATGGGTGACCAAAATTTACTATCTCGAGCTCCTCCGTGCTTCGGAAGGCACGTTAAGCCGTTGCTCCAGGCTGCATCTGCAGTCGTTAGTACCCACCAATCCGCACTGGACCCGCGTGGTGGGTCATGGCCCAATCTCCCTATTCCATCCATAGGGAAGGCCTGCGCCCCAGCAGTGGGGACATTAATAGGCGGATGAAGAACTGTGAGTGGGGATTGAACGAACAAAAAGAAAGTAATACCTTTATTTTTTACTTATCTGATGATATAAATAAAATACCTAATAATAAATATTTCCCACACTCACACCAATAAGTCTAGTCCCCAAAGTAAGCACTGTAGGCTTGTGTTATGGGATACTAGGGTAACGGATAGAATACATCATCATTATCAGTCTATTAATGTCCCCACTGCTGGGGCACAGGCCTTCCCTATGGATGGAATAGGGAGATTGGGCCATGACCCACCACGCGGGCCCAGTGCGAATTGGTGGGTGCTAACGACTGCAGATGCAGCCAGGACCAACGGCTTAACGTGCCTTCCGAAGCACGGAGGGGCTCGAGATAATAAATGTTTGGTCACCCATCCAATGACCTACCACTGCGAAAGTTGCTTAACTTCAACGATCGCAGCCGAACGCGCTAACCACTTGCGCCATCGAGCTTCTCGTCCTGCCTCGAAATAATCATATTTATATAGAAATACTTATTAAACATCCATGACTGAAGTACAAATGCTCGTATTCATCACACTAACAACTGCCCCATCAGGGATACGAACTCGGAACCTCTCGAGTAGGTGACACCTTGAAACCCAGCGTACGAATCACTCGGCCACGGATGTCGTCAAATATATAAAAGATAATTACAATAGAAGCCTTTGTAAAAATTACATGAAAACTTCAATCCAACACCAAACTTCTCAATATCTTCGATTCTTCTAAGAATAAATCGTTTCTAGTCCTGTTTGCACTGTATTTGGAAGCGTACCTGGATGTTTGTGA